AGGCTCGGCTCAGTAGTTGTGGCGCACGGGCTTAGTTGCTCCGCAGCATGTGGGATCTTCCCGGACCAGGGCTCGAACCCGTTTCCCCTGCATTGGCAGGTGGATTCTTAACCAGTGTGCCACCAGGGAAGTCCCAAGGGACTGTGTCATTTTCTAGAGGTATGTTAACCCAAAATAAGGTACTGAGCAACTGCTAAATAAATTATCCCTCCTTCCACCCCACCCTGCACAAAAAACATCTGTACAGTATGTTTCCCACTTGGCAAATAAGATTAGTATCAACATTTGGGGCGTTCGTCTCCACTACAGACATTGAGAGTTTGAGTGGGTTCTAAGTAGCAGTGATGGCTAATATTTATTGATTCTTACTACGTGCCTGAGTCTGAGTACTTTATGCTTTACATAGAGCATCTCATTTAATCCTTCCAACCACCTTAAGAGAAGGCTACTGATATTACCACCATATAAGGTTGAGAAAACTGAAGCAGAGAGAGGTTCAGTAACTGACCTATAGCGTTAGTTCCATGGCTAATAGCAGTGACAGAGCCAGGATTTGAACCCAGGCATCCTGCTCCAAAGCCCAGGTCTTCTTTTAAATTGTTACTCTGGTTCTGATTTCTCATACACCATGAAAAATGCATAAACAGGTCTTCTTTTAAATTGTTACTCTGGTTCTGATTTCTCATACACCATGAAAAATATGCATAAACCACAGTTACGCGTTTTAAAAATCACCTTCCCCCCCCCCCACCCCCCGTTCACTTCCCTCCCAGGCTGTAGCTACGATCTGCCTCTCTCTTGAAGACTACTTGGGAAATCCTTGCAGTTCTAGCCCAAGCTTTTGTTTGTTCAGCCGGTTCTCACTGAGCCCCTCTTTGTGCCGGACCTCCTTGTCCTTGGTTGGTATTGCAGGCCCTCAGCGGTCAGGACCAGACTCTCCTTAACCAGCAGGGGGAGCGAGGCCCTACTTTTATCCACCACTGGGCCCTATACCTTCAGGGCAAAAGGAAGACCTGAAGAGAAAAAAGGGAGCGCTAGGTTGGCCCCTATGGATGGGAAACTGGAATTACAACAAAGGCACCCTGACGGGGACCAGCTAGTTTGAATTTTGACACTATTCAGCAGGTCGTAGGCATGTACTCTCTTTGTTAAAGGCAGGATGTGCCTAAGAGAACTGTCAAGTACAGGAAGCCCCAAGTTTCAGATGAGCTGTATAGTAAGTTTGTAAGTCAGTTTTCTTTCTTGAAACAGTTGTGTAGGTAATAGAATTTGGAAAGGTCTACTGTTAATCTAATTGTGTTATTAAAATGGGCTCGTAAGCTAGCTGACAAATTTACTAAAATAGCAGAAATGAACACTGTTGGAAAAAGTTAAAACTTAGCACTGTACTCAATTCGTTACCTATTTTTCCAATAGGTAATATATACAGATAGTTTCCTCTACCCTTGATTTTGGTGTCTTTCCAGAAACAGTCCACATGCACGTATCTTTCTTAACCATATGGCAGTGTGCTATAGACACTGCTGCTCTGTGCCCTCTGTCGTTTACTTAATGTGTCTTGGCAGTTATTCCTTGACAGTACGTGTAAGATGGCCTTGTTTTTGTATGGATGTATTTTAATATGTCACCAGCCTTCAGTAGATGTTTGTCCTCTTTCCACTACTTTGCTGTTACAGGCAGTGCACAGGGATTCTCCTTGTTTGCACACGTGGGAGAGTGTCCTGTTAGGTCAGCTCAGAGTTGAGCTGCTGGATCAAAGAGCTCGAACCAGTTTGCACTCCACCACTGGTGTGGAGCAAGTGCCTGTTTTCCCCACCCTCACCAGCACAGTATGTTTTGGTTTGGGTTTTATGTTTGTTATTTTCCCCCACTGGAAATAAGGGCTCCAGGACAGCATGAACACTGGGCCGTCGCAGGCGGTGGCTCTCACTTCACGGCGGGACGGGGGCTGTGCGCTGGAGAGAGAGGCTACTGCCATGTCGCAGTCGCTCGGGCAGCGGCTTCCCTTCTGGCCATGGAGCTAGATACGGCCGCAGTACTCGGGGACCAGAGTCATGGGGGCTCCTCTGTGAGATTGTTTCCTGTGGACTTTTCACTTGAGCTTCAAGTCCCCCACCTGGTTTGTGAACCATCCGCCTCCCTCGGTCTAGCTCAGAAACTGCCCCATCTCTCCAGTGTGTGGACCCTAGTCGAGCTGATAGGTGCAGGGTGGCACTTCGCTGTGCTTGTAACCTTGCTCCCCTGGCATCGGGTAAGAACCGGAAACATGTGGAAACTGATCTATCTTAGACACGAGCCCAGCACTGCGGCCGGGGGTCCCTGCTGAGAGGAGGCATCGAGAGCTCTAAAAGCTGTGCAGCAGCAGCGGGACGCTGAGCTGTGTTTAAGAATAGTGTTCTTTTCTATGCTGTAGAATTCCTACTCTTGGGGATGAGGCCAGTGAGCAAAAAGGGCGAAGCTGGTTAGAAAACACCTGTGAGATGTTGAGTCTGGAAGAATGTGTGTTCGAGAAAGACCAAAAAGCCGGCGTTAATTAAAGAACCAGCCTGTCTTCCATACAAGCAATATGTTTAGTCTGCTTCTCAGGAGTAGAGATCAGCTGTGTTAATAATGATAAAAGTGAGTCCCACTGAGTGGGTGCTGACCATGTTCCGGGCACTGCACTCGGCACTCTTTGTGCACGAGGCAGATACTGCCGTTCTCTCCATTTGGTAGATGAGAAACCAAGTTCGCAGATAATCTGTTACCTGTTATGTAGGCAGCTTACCATGGTTTCGCAGCAGCAGAGCTTGGTCGGTATAACTCACAATCATCCTCTTAACCTCTGTGCCAGCCAAAGCATTGGTCCACATCTGGCCAGGCCAGTCAGTCCTCATGAAGAGAGGGCAGTTGACCCAACTCCCCCCCTTGACAGACCAGACTGAAATTCACAGCTTTTGTTCAGAGCGTTGGCCTTTGCCCGAATCATTCGGAATTACTTCTGTTTCACTATGTAAGTGGAAGAATCCTCTTCAAAAAGATGATGGACATTTTTAAAATAAAAGTAAAGGAATATAACAGGGATGGCAGCATCAGGGATATTTCCAGTTTAACACAGCTAGAAATGTAGGATGCTGTTAGTAGTTTAAATTGTACATTGGACCAGGTCTGATTCCAGCAGGGGGAGACAAGTTCACATTGATTGTCCTGAAAGAAAAAACAGGGAATTATTTATACTGTCCACACATCATGTGCGTGCGGCTCGTGTGTGTGTGTGTGTGTGTGTGTGTGTGTGTAATGAAGAGAGAGAGGCAGAAGAGGGGTGCCTTTGAAAGCCATAATATTCCTTTTGCATGTCCATGCCTCTCAAGACCTAGAACATGGTTCTTGCAGAGAAGAGTCAGTAGCTATAAGAGCAGTGTTATATCGGAAACGAGTTCACTGTGCGAGGCTCATTATGTGGTGCTTCAAATCTGGAAAGCTTCATTTGAGAGCTACTCTTTGAACATATTGTTGGCTGAGCAGGGTTCTTAAAGGCCCTGGTCCTTCCATGAGCAGCATTGAATCCCCTAGTTCCGGCAGGCACTTGGCTCTCCAGCCGTTGACGGTAGCGGCGTGTCACCCTGGTGGATCAGAGCACTGAACGCCAGAAACCGTATGGTCTGCTGAGCATGTTCAGGCTCAGGCAGGGCTCCGAAGACTTAAACAGCCAGTGAGGTGGCTTGACATTAGGGGCAGCTCACCACCTTTAAAGAGCGATAAACTGTGTCTGAGTTTCAGTCCCATCGAGCCCTAAGCTAAGTGATAGTGGGCTGACACATCTCCTCACTGGTCATGCTTCGCTTGTAAACATGCTTGACCAAAGCAAGACAGCACTAAGTAAAGGGTGACCCGTCCCCTGGAAGTCTTCCCCACGTGCCAGGGTAGGAACCGGCAAGCCACAGTGAGTAGGACACTTTAGCGCTTTGTTTCCCGAAGGGGCAGGTACAGTGTAAGTAAAGCTCCACATTTAAAGTACAGCTGATAAAGCTTCTCTTGGGGAATCTAGTTTCCAAGTAGCTCTCTCTCTATCTCACATGCAGGCCTGCTCTTCAGACACACTCAGACTCCATGTTGAAACGTAGAGGGTGGGGTCCTGCTTCCCTTGCCGGTTTTTTTTTATAGCAACAGACTGTGTCATGTATCAGCCACCTGCTTCTTGCTTTGATGGTCAGTTGAGAGGACAGCGGGTTCTTTAAGTCAAAAAGAGGTTTACCCGACGTAAACCCACAGCCAGGCTCCTGAAAACAGAGCCGACAACAGCACTCCAGACTGATACGTGAGGAAATGCAGAAACATTATCGCATTTGCTCTGGGCATTTGCTGATATCTTTGTCTCCCCTTGGCATTTAAATACTGTGAACTTGGCTAAAACGTGATGTGTGCTGATGATACTTGTGAAGCCGTTGTTAGGGGAGCTGCTAGTGAAGATTACTTTAGAATCTGTGAGTAATTGACCTGACAGGTAGTGGTGATTGCTTCATTGAGAGCCCCATGAGACCGCATTCTTGAGAAGTTCAACATCCTCTCTTTCTGCCGTATCTTGAGGCATCGTTCTTCGGTAGCGCTATACATCTTTTTGTGTCATCAAGGTCTCTTCTCTTCTCTTTTTTTTTTTTTGCGGTACACGGGCCTCTCACTGTTGTGGCCTCTCCCGCTGCGGAGCACAGGCTCCGGACGCACAGGCTCAGCGGCCATGGCTCAAGGGCTCAGCCGCCCTGCGGCATGTGGGATCCTCCCGGACCGGGGCACGAACCCGCGTCCCCTGCATCGGCAGGCGGACTCTCAACCACTGCGCCACCAGGGAAGCCCCAAGGTCTCTTCTCTTAAATCAAGTACATTAAGGATTCTTCAAGTGATTTTTCTTTTCTTATATATTAAGCATTTGGGGAGGCCTTGGAAGCCAGCTGTTCCGTAGGGAAGTGGGACCAAGTTTGTGGTATTTGCCTGTACACATCTCCCTTGCTCCCCACAAACTCCACGGGTGATGGAAACAAGTACAGTCTGCATAGAGCCACCAGGGCAAGTCACCAGCATATACAGCCAGTCTTGACCTGGTGCTCAGGGTGAGAGTTCCAAAGCTCAGCACCGAAGTGGAAAATTCTTTGTGTCGTTGGGGGTGATGATCAGGCCACCTTGGAACCTGTCCAGAGCGATGTCATGGTTGAGACTGGTAGACCGGGATGATCGTTCATGGAAGCTCCAGTTTGTATGAACCATTCAGGTCGTGCTTCCCCACTTCGACACTTTCCTTGCCGAGATAATGTCATCACTTCTTTTTCTCCTGCAGGAGGATACCATGGAGGTGGAAGAGTTCTTGAAAGAGGCCGCAGTAATGAAAGAGATCAAGCACCCCAATTTAGTACAGTTACTCGGTGAGTGCGTGGAGCTCTGGAGAGAGGGCCTCTTAATTAAACACCCTCTGGGGTGACACAGGTGCTATTAGAGAAGGGGTGGGTGGCTCACCGCATTGAGGTTTCTGATTTGTACATCTGTCCCCCACCAGCATCCAGCCCTTGGTAAAAGGAGGCCTGTGTGGGAGGGGGGCGTGTGTGTGTCCGTCCATGTGCCCACGCGAGCGAGGGAGAACGTTATTACTTTAAATTGATACCCAAAAGCAGTCAAATGCAAACTGGCATCTGAAAACTAAGAATTTCAAGAGTTCCTTCCCGGAAGTGATTCTGTACCTAGACATATCCAATTGTGGGGGTGGGGTCATCCTCTGTAAAACCACAGCTGATTTAATCATGTCATGTTACTTTCTGTATATGCTTGCTCTTATCAAATTTATAGCAATTAATGTATTTCATTGTACTCTTTGCTTGTGTACGTCTTTCCCTCACAGCTTTCATTTTTTGAGAAAAAGGCAATATTTTAATGTTTATGTACATAAGTATATATTGTCCAGGGCATATAATAAATATTTGAGAAATAAATGCAAAAATAACAATTCAATGCAATTGTTTTTCAGAATTTTTTTTAACAAGTTCTTTGCTTTCCTTTCATTAGCCATCTCTTTATCACTTTTTAAATCAGGCTTTACGCTTTGAGGCCACTTCATTTGATTTCCAGGTTTATTTCCTATCTAATAGATTCAGGGTTATTTTTGCATGTGGGTTTTTAATCTCCCAGCTCAGCATTACAAGTCAACGATAGCCGATAGCCTGCTCTAATTTATAGCTTTGGATTCACTCCAAAAATGGGTAACGATTAGCACTCTATCCAACAAAAGTCAATATCTCTACCCTGAACATTTGAGAAATTGTCAGTAAAGAAGAGAAATATTATATACTCCAAATTTAAAGGGAGAAAATTGAAGCTTGCCCAAGAGACACTTATTTTCTATTTGGGAGGCAATAGTCAACCATAATGTAGAACAAAGTAAATTGTTATATTTACATATGGCCCATTTTGTCATTTTTACTAATTCCATTATCAAAAGAATATTCCTATTCTCTGCATTTTATAAATTCATTTAGATTCAGAGAACTTCTTCCCAAGGCTGACTTGTCTTCTACTCAATTTTGAAAATGTAAAGTGGATTATTTACTAAAAGTTAGGAAATGCTGACATAAATCATGTTATTCTCCATGCTCTGGTCTAGATAATACATATTTTGGTTCATGTAGAAATTAATTTTTACTATATCCTATTTCAATACTTCAGTGCTCTGGATGAATTTTCTCATACTGGAAAAATTGTATAAGACGCTGAAGACCAATCAGTGGGGAAGTTGCAGAGATGACCAGCTGCAGGTTGTCCTACATAATAACTGAGGCCTTTCCTAGGGTGGATGAATGAAAAGAACAGTAAAGAACATTAACAATAATAAGAACAATAACAACAAAACAAATGTGGAGTGTTTGCTCTGTGAAAAACACTTGCTAGGAACTTTGCACATATGATCATATGTATTCCTCACCATAAATATTTAAAGTCGCTATTATAATTTTTGCTTTATATCTGAGACAAATTAAGTCTCATGGTATATAAATAATGTTTCTATGGTCATATAGACTCAAAGAGTTCAAACAGACCCATGAATTTAGAGCTGTTAGATTCCAAAAACTATCCTCATTATAGAATACGTTGCCTTTTCAACCTTGTTTCCGTCCTTCTAAGATTTTCTAGAGTGCACAGTGAATTCTAAAATATAGTTGATGTTTGTGAAAAATTATTTCTTACATTATTACCCAAAATTAGTGTTATAACTGACCAGTTCACTATTCCTAATGCATAAGCATATACACTAATGGTGGATCCAGAATATCAACATTAAAGAAGAGGATACTCTTCTTTAAGGACACTTCAATGAAAAAAGGCTCTACAGTTCTTTAGCAATCAACCTTTGAATAAGGTTTACCTGAATCTTCCATAATAGTGCACACTTAATCAAACAATTCTACTCTTGACAAGAACTCTGAGAACTCATTGTAAACAACAGATTCAATTGGCCCTATTGATTGAAGTACTTCTATAGCCTCATCTTTTACTGCTTGAAAACATTTAAGGAAATTGTCAAAAGCTATTATATTTAGAACTCTGAAACCAAATTTGACTCAAATAATTTTTTAGTAGGTAGTAAGTGTTCAAATATTTGAATATTTAAGTGACAATGAAGTTAGAAGGCTGCTCAGCTTTAGACATATGTTCATGTTAACTGCTGTCGAGTCTAACTGAGTGATCTGCATTTCCCTTGTCACTGTCTTACATATGTTTCCATTAGACTAAAATCCCAGATTGCCTAAACCTATTACTCACGCCCCAGTTCAGTTCTTGAATCATAAAGCCGTAAAACATTTGGAGGTCTTAATTAGATGCTACTGTTTACTAGAAGAATAGTTTTAATATTTAAAATAGGAGCTTGAAAAGTAAGCAAAATAGCTACATCCAAATGACCAACTGGGGAATTCAAGCTTTGTGTTAAAGTAAAAAAAAAAAAAAAAAAAAAAAAAAACTTTTCTCCCCTGTTTTCTGTCCAAAATGAAGTAAAAGTGAGCTTTTTTCTTCCAAAATAATTCAGATTAACTTTTTTCCCCACTCACCGTCTTTCTGTCTTCACTCTTAGTTTGCTGCCTAGGTTTGCAGGAGCAGCCGGCCCACCCTGCAGGCACCCAGAGTCTTCCTCTGTGGAGAGAATGCTGTATAGTTTGGTTTGGGATTCAAGTAGAATATTACCCTCTGAAGCCTCGTGTGACAGTATTTTATTTTTACTTTTTTGAAAAGAACTTTTTACTATGCCAATTGTAAGCATACACTAAAGAAGACAGAGTTACCTAATGCGGCCCAGGCACCCATCACCCAGCTTTGCTGTCATCACCTCATGGTGCCTCTCATCCTGTACACCTGTCCACCCCCCCGACCCTTGTTATTTCAAAGCAGATCCCAGACAGCATAATATCTTGTCCACGAATATTTCATATAAGTCTCTTAAAGATGACTTTTTTATTTGTATAACCACAAGTTGAGATTAATTTCTAAATATCATCAAATATCTAGTCAGTGTTCAAATTTCCAATGAAATCATGAAAGTCATGCTTTTTTTCTTTTTTTTGATTTAATTTATTTATTTATTTTTGGCTGTGTTGGGTCTTCGTTTCTGTGCGAGGGCTTTCTCTAGTTGCGGCGAGCGGGGGCCACCCTTCATCGCGGTGCGCGGGCCTCTCACTGTCGCGGCCTCTCTTGTTGCGGAGCACGGGCTCCAGACGCGCAGGCTCAGTAGTTGTGGCTCACGGGCCTAGTTGCTCCGCGGCCTGTGGGATCTCCCCAGACCAGGGCTCGAACTCGTGTCCCCTGCATTGGCAGGCAGATTCTCAACCGCTGCGCCACCAGGGAAGCCCTTTTCTTTCTTTTTTTTTTTAAACAGTGTGTTTGAATTGGGATGGGAATAGGAATCTCACAGTGCTGTTAGTTGACAGTGGCCCTTAGGTCTCCTGTACAGTGTAAATTCCTTCTTTATCCCTCTGCGTCCCTTGCTAGTTATTTGTTGAAGAAATCCTGTCATTTGTCCTTTAAAGTCTCCCACACTCTGGGTTCTGCTCACTGTACCCCTGTGGTGAGATCTGTCGTGTCCTTCAGTCTTCACTCTCCCTAGATAATGGGTATTTGGATCGAGACAGCTTGATCACATTCGAGTTTGACTTGTTTTTCTTCTAGTAAGAGTACATAGGAAGGGGTGTACATTTTCATCAGTAGGCCCATAATTCTTAGTTTTCTGTCTTTGTCCAGATCTGCTGATTTATTCGGGGTTTTGCCAAATGATAATTCTCTAATTCTCATTCCTTATGCATTTATCAGCTCGATACCTTCTATAAGAAGAAGCATCTTCTCCCCTCTACTGTTTGGCTTTAGTAGGGGTACAGTTCATACAGGAAAGACAGGATAAATGTTTGCTCACTTGCCATTATTTACCGGTTTCCACGATAACAAATTGGTTTCTTAATACCCTCCAACGGTGACCAGGTTTTTGTTGTTTTTCTTTTGTGATATTATTATAAGCTCTTGGATTTAAATATATTTGAGTGTGTTATTGACTAATCCACTGCAGTTGTTTTTTAAATTGACTTTCAGGTTGTCTCATCTTTGGCCAGTGGGGACTCCAAATTGTTCCTGGTCCTTTTGACAAAACCCTAGAGTCTTCTAGAGCATCTCTGCTCTCTGGAATGATAAAATATTCCAGGTTCATTCTCTGCCCCAGACCTGAAATCACCGGTTTCTCCAAGGAGTTCTGGTTCCTTAATGGGACCTGGAATTTCAACGATTCTGTAAGATTTTAATGAAATTTTTGGAATTGGAAGGGCCCTTAGAGGTAATTTCATGTACCCAGAAAGGAGAGGTGGTCTGTCTTAGGCACATGGCTAGTTGCTCACAGAGCCATGAGTAGTAATGGCCTCCTCAATTCCAGTCCTAGGTTCCTCCCACCACATCTCCCAACAAGATGGCTAGGCTACCTAAAAGACCCTGGAGGGGCTGATCAGCCCAGGCCCCTTCTCTCCTTCTGTTTTAGTCGGTGGGAGTGAGTAAACGGAAAGCCTCTTTCTGTCCTGTTCTATCCGGGGCTGTTGGTAATTAAGAGCCGGGTAAAATGTCAGTGTCTGACCTGCTTCTGAGGGTGTAACTTCTGATGTCTGCTGCACAGTTAACCAGTTTTAAATGCAGTGTAGTTAAATCTTACACATCTCGAACGATCCTGTTCTTTCTTTTTTCTTTTAGCATTTGGAGTGTTGCTTTGGGAAATTGCTACCTACGGCATGTCACCTTACCCAGGAATTGACTTGTCGCAGGTGTATGAACTCCTAGAGAAAGATTACCGCATGGAGCGCCCGGAAGGCTGCCCAGAGAAGGTCTACGAACTCATGCGAGCATGTGAGCCTTCCCCCGCCAGTTCTAGAAGTCTCTGTGGGCACTTTACATAGACCCAGGGCAGGAGGATATATGTAAAGTAAAAAAATCGAAGTATTCCATTTCCTCTCTGCATTCCCCTTCTTCAGAAGCAACTAATGTAACAGTTTGCTACCTATTTTTTTTTTCACTTTTTTCAGTATGCCTTTATTTACCCATAGTATTTTATGTGTGAGTGTTTTTTGTTTGTTTTTAATGAAAAATGAGATTGATAGATACCAAACCTGGGTTTCTTGTTAATAAATACAAATTTCTGGTACAGTAGGCAAATATTCCAGGTGACTTTTATCCACTCGTTTTTTTATATATATGTATAAAAATTTATTCCCTCAACTTTTTTTTTTTTTTTTTTTTTTTTTTTTTACTTGGGCCTCTCACTGTTGTGGCCTCTCCCGCTGCTGAGCACAGGCTCCGGACGCGC